GTGGCGTTCTTTTCGCAAGGGACATGTTTTTTAATATTTCATCACAGGTCAAGGTGATGAACATAGAGCCTAGAAAACACGATTTGAATTAACTTGCACAGCAATTGAACATTGAACATTTTCTCTGTGACAGAAATAGAGGTGTACAGGGTGGGCGTTCTATGCCGGACTTTTATCTGGTTATATATACTTCACACTGCGAGCAGGCGGCAGGCGTCCGTGTGGGCTTGTCTACCAACTCGCACCACGCCACCCAACGGCCCCGTGCCAGTATGCAACGCGTCCGCACGCCTCTATGCAGTACGATATAACTAGAAAAAGTCCGGCGTAGGGCACCCATACTGCATACAGTGGGACATACCAATGTCAGGATGACGATACGCAACTCTTTCCTCCATACACGACCACATAATTATAGTATCGGCCATGGGATCTGCAATAACACTGTCAGGGGAAAAATCTTCGCCCTCTATCCTTATTTCTGTACTACCATCTTTCAATACAACAACTGAAAAAGAGGAGGAAACAGACAAATATAAACCCTCATAGCTTACGCGTCGGAAGATTTGCCTATCGCCTGGGCGGCGCACGGTGGAAGCCTGCGGAGGAGAGCGTCGCGGTCGCACCCGCAGGAATAACTTTAAGCTTACAAACCATGGGCTCCACATAGAAAGATTACTTTATACTTACGGTGTTCCGGCCCCCGGCATGCTTGAACTATGATTATTTTAGGCCTTCCATCTAGTGTCCTGTGGCCTTGCAGCGCCCGTCTGATCGCTGACATGGACATGTGTGTACCATCAGCGAAGTATAAGCAGTCTGCGTGTAAACAAAGAGATCAATGTAGTTAAAAACCTGTAAATTTAAATTTAAAATTCAGACTTATAGCTTCGATAACAAACCTCCAGAACCTCCATGACTCAAAAACGCCAGGACAAAGGGGCCCACACCGTCACCAATCAAATCTACAGCATTTTCCAGGTGTTCTTCGAAGGCATCCCCATTACAGTTGTTTGCTATGTGAACTCCATAGCCCAAAGACCGAAATACAAGTTCAAGATTGTCTCGATCCACGTTTGTACCAGGCTCCCGGCATGTGAGGTCCTATCAAAGGCAATAATGTTACTAATGACGGGACTAGCGATATGGACTTGGAGATAACACCGTGCTCACGGTATTCCTTTGACTGAACAGACAACTTAGTAAGTCGTGATTTCACGAAGTGGAAGTCAAGCTAAACAGAACAGGTTGAGACATCAAAAATGACGGACTTAGTATTAGCAAATCAATTACGGGATGAATGATAACTCGAAATGTATTAATGTACTCTTGAAGTTTGCCTTCACGGCGACGCGACGTGTCTTCGCAGTATGTACCGGGTGATTCAGAGCACGCGCCGCCGTGTTGCGGGTTTGCCTATCCTCGACTCGGCGGGCGCACGGGTGAGAGGTGAGGAGGAGAGAGGTCCTGGGGTCCCCTCTCACCCGTGCGCCCGCCGAGTCGAGGATAGGCCAACCCGCAACACGTCGGCGCGTGCTCTGAATCGCCCGGTACCACTAGTGGTAGTTGCAATCGACACACATCCTTAATTTTGGATTATATTTTGCCCTCTTCGGTACTGCACGCGTAGGCACATGGATCAAGTGTTCGAACTATTTCGCGAGTAAGTTATTCCCTCGAGATCCAATGACTTACCGGGCTTGTGAATGTCCCTTGATTGATGATGAGAAGAGCGCCTCGTCCGACTGGGTAGCCCTTGTCTCTTGTACGCATCATCTTGGGCTTATGAAGTTTGCTGGGATCAGTAGAGGAAGCCGAGAGGCGGCGCACTGCTTTTTGCTGCGATCACAGCGACCACTTGAACAGTACTGGCGAATCGCGCATGTGTTTGCGCCTCGCCTTTGCGCCGCACTGACCCGATATCACACGAGTCAGATAGCCGTAGGCCTACTGAGGCGAAAACCGGCTTTATAGTCCAGTGTGTGTGCGTGAGGAGGGGGGGGGATATCTTCTAAATTTTCTGAGAACGAGAGGTATTCCCTCGTCTCCGGGTTAGATTATGATGAGTCACAGAGGGAAGAGACAGAGTATCGGGTTTTGAGAGAGCTAAATCCATCCCGTCCAAAAAGAGGAGGGTTCACATTCCAATAATAAAAAGACAATACATTAAAGGAAGCCGAGATATGTATTTTACGAAAATCCTTTCCATACTTCAAAGTCATGTCGTGCAAAATGAAGAAAAAATAGCTTCCTTAAAAAAAAAAGATTCCAAACAATGGCTATTAATCCATTACAATATCATCAGTTTATTTCAACTGTGCAGAATTACCATGTTAGAGTGTTTTTACAAACGTTTTGGTCCGTAGCATGCCTGACGAGGTCCATCCTTCGCGAACGCCATTGAAAAGGTACATTCGACCTATTTGTAATGCACTATATTATGCTTCAGCATACGCAGCCGATACAAGGTAGCACCAATTATAGGTCAACAATACTGTAGCAGAGTAAGGCAGAGTAACAACAATAATAATCGGCAAGGTGGAGTACGATGCCGCCTTCTGAGTAGACTAATCCGTAGAGCACGCAAGTTCTGCCCGGCTGCCTACCTCGTATCTGAAAGGGGCTTCATCACTCCAGCTCGAGGCAGTTACCTCTAAATGAAAGATCTTACATAAAATAAGATAAAATTCGAATTTTCACAGATGCAATTAACCAGAGCTTTCAATGCCACAATTTACAAAGAAATCATCTCACTCCGGAGCCGTAACGCGGCGCGCTCCAGCTCCACTCCTACTTGAGGTACGATTTAACTGCTAAATTCCACTCGATTTCTTAGCCTCCTCAGCAATAAGGCCAAGTCGTCAAAGCGTTGTCGAGCCTAACTCTGTTCCCTAAAAAATTACAGTTTTCTTAATTATTTGAAAATATTTTTCCGTATTTTTCCTATGCCGCACGCCTTCCCTAAGCCATTCAATTTTCACACTGTTCTCCGGGGTGACAGTTGGGACCGCACAGAACGTCCGCTTTGCGGCACGAGCACCTCGAGTTAGGCGAGCAGCCCGTCTTGCATTTGCACTTCACTATTTTGTCAGCCCCGCTCGCTTTGATCCGATTCGCGCAGTTGGAGCCCGCCCGCCCCGCTGTGGCACTGCGGACCGCGCAAACTGCCCGATCCGCGGCACCCAACCCACAACGAGAGCCCTCGCCTCCTGTCGGACACGCAGTGTCCGAGACGTTGACGTTCCCTGTCGCTAGCTTATTCGACTTCTGCTTTGGACCCTTCTTCGGTAAATTTTCGCAAGGAGATCCGCCGTGACACCGAGGACCGCAGATGAGGTCTCTCTTCCGACAGCCGCACAGTTTGGATTTCGCACCGCATCCAGTTCGGCACTTGCACCCGCTCACTGCAGCGCCCCCGCCATCCGTCACGTAGGCCCTCGTCCCGCGGTCCACGTGGTCAGGAGAGTGCGTCGTGGAGGTCGTGGACGTTGACTTCTCCTTCGCATCTTTAGAGGACTGCGCTCTCTCGAACTTCACTTTAACTGAAACAGACGAAATGGACAAATTTAGGCCCAGCAATACTGACCTCGGCAGCCGCAGCGGTAGGTGCCGCAGCCCTTCCGGCAGCTGCAGGCCCTTTTGGGCGGCGCGGCTGCAGCCGGGCCTGGCCTACGTACCTGTAGAGGAGAACTCGCGTGGCGCCTGCCTGTTCCCGCATGCCGCTCCAGGGTGGCACCGCTCTCCGCAAGGAACGCTGTACTTCCGGCAGCCGCACCTGCCCGAGCCACAGCCTCCCTTGCACCGGCAGGCCCTCGGCGCGTTAGCGCACTTGTCGCTCTTGTTCTTGGGGCCCCCGTCGTGGCGACACTCGGGGCCGCACGGGGCGCCTGCTTGTCTGCAGCGACAGGTGCCGGAGGGGACGCAGTCGTCCACGCAGTGGCAGCCGGGGTCTGAGCGCACATATACAAGTGATGTACCGGGCGGGGGAGTGCACAGAGACACGTAGTGCACCGGGCGGGAGAGCGCACAAGACACGCGGTCTGGGTCTGCCGGCCGGTGGGTGCACAGAGACAAAGTGGTGCACCGGGTATGCGGCAGAACGCACGAAGACACATGGTGCACCTCGACAGGCGGCTGGACAACCTCGTGGGATTTCGTAGTAATGCTGTACCGCATGCATTAGTGTGGGTGTGTTGCCTACTCCGCCCGGAGCCGTATAACGCGACGCGCTCCAGCTCCGCTCCTACTTGTAAAGCTTCGTACAACATTTAACCTAATTCTGTTCCCTGTACTTACCTTTGTGGACATCGTCCGGCTGTAGGTTGGGAACGACTTGGACTTGACCGGCAGCTCGAGGCCAAATTCGAGCCAACTCTAGCTTAAGCCCGTCTATTCTCTCCTTTGCTCTGCCGAACTTATCTTCATCGACGGGCGGGCCGAGAAACAGTGGCTTTTTGAGAGAGGATATGGTCTCGGGGCTCGTCAGCATACGGAATCCATGGCACCTTGTCACATAGTTTTCCATGCTTTTATTTACACTCATGCTCAAATCAATGATGTGTGTTTCAGCACTGATCGATGTCGCTCTTTCCGCACCAGACATGCTTTTTAATATCTCATCACAAGTCAAAATGATAAACATTGAGCCTAAAAAACAAGATTTGAATTAACTTACAGAGCAATAAACATTTCTTTAGAGAACGCCAAATCTAAGGTGTTCTAAGTCGGACTTTTGTCTGCTTATATTAATTTACCGCAAGCAGGCGTGCGTGGTACGAGGGCCTGCCTACCGTATATATCATCCAGAAAGTACGACCGTTTTTCTCCTATTTATTCGTCAAATTACAGAAGCTCGGCGCTGTTTTAGTGGTGGTGTTGGTGGTTCTATCAGAGAATGATGTACGATTGAGTTGTCTGGTTCTTGGTCTATTTCTCACACTTTTAACCAGCACAATTAGCACCCCACACTCACCGCTGCCTACTCGCGACTGCCCGTCTCCAGCGTCTCCAGCCCTCGTTATCTACCTATAACAGCGCCTGCAAGATTGAGGGTAGGCCACCCCGCCGTACATGTATGCATCGTAGGTGAGATGTTGCCTGCCTACTAGGCGCTATGAGAACTTGCAAGGGCTGAAGTTTGCAGGTTCGTAACGGAGAATGACGGACGCACTTTCTGGATGATCCCTACCGGACCCGTACGAGTATGTAACTCGTCTGCACGCATGCATAGACGCTGAAAGTGAGGTTCCACCACCACCTACCCCACCCACCCTCTCCAGCTTCCTCCTCGCCCCGCCGTGTCGCTCGGTTTGCGCGGGTCATTTGAACTATGAGTGTCCTCAGAAACTATTCCTGAGCATATCCTAAGTCCGTATCTGTGGCTCCTAAAACCATCTGAAAGCACAACATTTCGTAATGGTAAATACTTATCTCGTTCTTTAGAAACGTGGCCGCTGGAGTAAAAACAATTGTGCGACACGAAAGGGGAGGGGCGGATGGCGAGGTGAGGAAAAGTGGAGGAGAGGGCTCACTTTTAGCGTCTATGAGTACGGTATAACTAGAGACAAGTCCGGCGTAGGGCACCCGTCCTGCATACAGTTGGACATACCAATGTCACGATGAAGATACGCAACTCTTTCCTCCATACACGACCACATAACTATAGTATCGGCCATGGGATCTACAACAGCACTGTCAGGGGAAAAATCTTCGCCCTCTTTCATTATTACTGTACTACCATCTTTCAATGCAACAACTGAAAAAGAGGAAACAGCAAAACATCGTAGCTTACGTGTCGGATGAGTTGCCTATCGCCTGGGCGGCGCGCTGCGGGAGCCTGCTGAGGAGAGCGTCGCAGTCGCAGCCGCAGCATTGACTTTTAGCTTACAAACCATAGGCTCCAGATAGCAAGATAACTTGATACTTACGGTGGTCCTGTCCCCGGCATGCCTGGACTATAATTATTTTAGGCCTTCCATCTAGTGTCCTGTGCTGTAGCAGCGCCCGTCTGATCTCTAACATGGACATTTGTGTGCCATCAGCAAAGTATAAGCGGTCTACGTGTAAACAAAGAGATCAATGTAGTTAAAACCCTTTAAACTTAAATTTAAAAATCAGGCTTATAGCTTCGATAACAAACCTCCAGAACATCCATGACTCAAAAACGCCAGGACAAAGGGGCCCACACCGTCACCAATCAAATCTACAGCACTTGCCAGGTGTTCTTTGAAGGCATCCCCATTACAGTTGTTTGCTATGTGAACTCCATAACCCAAAGACCGAAATACAAGTTCAAGACTGTCTCGATCCTCGCTTGTACCAGGCTCCCGGCATTTGAGGTCCTATCAAAGGCAATAATGTTACTAATGACGGGACTAGCGATATGGACATGGAGATAACACCGTGCTCACGGTATTCCCTTGACTGAACAGACAACTTAGTAAGTCGTGCTTTCGCAAAGCGGAAGTCGGGCTATAAAACAGGGCGGGTTGAAACATCAAAAATAACAGAATTAATCTTAGCAAATCAATCCCGGAATGAATAATAACTCGAGATGTATGTAGGTACTTTTGAAGTTTGCCTTCAGGGCGACGCGACGTGACTCCACAGTATGTACTAGTAGCTGTAGTGTTCGAATTATTTCGTGAGTTATTTGTTACCTCGAGATCTAATGACTTACCGGGTGTGTGAATGTCCCTTCATTGATGATGAGAAGAGCCCCTGGCCCGACTGGGTAGCCCTTGTCTCTTGTCAGCACCATCTTGTGCTCATTAGCTTTGTTGGGATCGCTAGAGAAAACCGCTTTTGCAGCGATCACCCCGTCAACTTGAGAAGAACTGGCGAACGGCGGATGTGTTTGCGCCTCGACTTTCCGCAGAACTGTAGGCCACGACCCGACACCATGAAGTTTGATATAAGCCTGCAGAAAGTGCCAGCGAAGCGTAGCTGGCTTTAGCATAGAGCATATGCACTGATAAATTAAGTGTGCAACTGCTTAACACTCGTAAGTGTGCAAATGCAAGTTGATTACTTTCACGTGTGCAGCCCAATACTTGTACATACACAAGTGTTAAGCTCGATACGTGTGCACTTGCAAGTGTGCAACTCCTCAGTTGAGCAGTTTCTACCCGGTGAGCACACCTACCGCGTTAAACACTTGCAAGTGTACAACTTGCAGTTTTCACATTTACAAGTGTTAAGCGGTTGCACACTTAGTTTATCAGTGTGCGGAGCGGGGATAACCTTCTATATTTCCTGAATACGAGTGGTATTCCCTGGTCTCCGGGTTGGGTTGAACTCGAGTTGTGAGTCATCCATGCGTCTCTTTCACCATCATTCCGAGTCCAAGGAGAAAGAGACTACCGGGTTTGAGAGAGCTAAATCCGTCCCGTCCAAAAAGAAAAGGGTTCAAATTTAAAAAAAATAAGAGACAATACATTAAAGTACAGAATATATATTTTCCAAATCCTTTTCTATGCCTCACAGACGTGTCTTACAAAATTTAGAAAAAATAGCTTAATTTTTAATTTTTTAAAAGGTTTCCAAACAATGGCTATCAGATTATTACAATATCATCAGTTTATTGCAACTTTGTAAAATTACCATGTTAGTGTGTTTTAACAAACGTTTTGGTCTTTAGCATGCCTGATGAGGTCTATTGTTCACGAACGCCACTGAAAAAGTACATTGGCCGCAAGTGTAATACACCCCATGCTTTGGCATACGGAGCTGATGACTGGTGGCCCAAATTATAGCGGTCAAAAGTAAAGGTACGCATTTTCTAAGAGGGCCACAAAAGTGCTCGTGGATTGATGGCAGGGTGTAGTACGATCGATCGCTTTCTTAGTGGACCATTCCGTAAAGCACGAAAGTTCTGCCCGGTTGCCTACCTCGCATCTGCAGGAGCTCGCTCACTCGAGCACGTCACCGTGCTTCTAGCAACGTGAGTTTTACGCAGATGCAATTAAACCAGAGCCTTCAATGCAACACAGTTTACAAAGTCATCATTTCAAAGAACAAAACAAATTTTGTTGGCAACCCCAGTGCAAAGCAAGAAGGTGTACACTGCTAAAGATTCTACAAAATTCATTATGATGTACAGCCGTTATTGTTTAATATCTGCAATAACAACATTAAAAATAATTTACAGTTTTCTTAACAGGTCAGAGCTCATGCCCAACCAAGATTGTCATGCCTGTCTCATTAAGCACATAATCAAAAATTGTGACCTTAGATTCCATTATTCTACTTGATGACCACAATCAGAGGTAATTAACTACAACTAAAAAAGCAATAAAAGCAAAACCTTTGGAGACATTTAAAAGAACAATACTATAATAATTCATGATGCCAAGCCCCCACTAATATCACAGGAATTGTTTGTAAATAATACAAAATTATTGAATCCAAATGACATGGATGAATGAACATTAAACCTACAGGGAAGACAAACACTTAATTGATTCAAATTTCTTTGATTCCACAAATCTAAATAAATTAGTAATTCACAAGGGTGCAAATTATTTTTGGCAATTTTTTTCACAGACAATATATCAAAATAATAAGATATGTAATTTCAATATGTGTAGCATATCTCATAAAATGTAAATATACTTATATTTTGATGTGCCTTGTTCTCTACAGGAGACTGTTCATCAGATATGGAAGGGAAACAAGTGTTACAAACATTGAGTATGTACGATATCTAAAAAGAACCCTGTAGAAAGATTATATGATAATTTTATCATACATTATAGGAACACAATGTATAAACATATCTCTGCACATAATGTAAAAAAATTCCTACATTTTTACATGGCTTTGGTACCATCAAAATTGCAATTATTTGCAAACACCATTGGTTTTTATAACTCACTAGCCATGATTATTTATTTCCTTTCTCTGCTTTTTATTTCAGCTCACAGGAATGTTTCCTTTGCTGGTAGATTGATCTCAACATGAGATTTGAGAGGTAATCCTTGAGACGTCGGCCAGTATGTTGCAAGAGAAGTAATATGGTCAACTTTTTTATATTTATTTTTCTTACTTCGTTTCCTTGAGATCCAGTGAAGAACAACTTTCAGCCACCGGGTTTCAGCAACAAAGTTCTGAGAACAAAGGGACCAAATGAACTAATATTATTCATTTTAATTTATTTTACCCATTAATGTCATAACAAATAATTATACCTCTATGGTAGCTGATCCAGCAAGGTGAAATAGTGGGAGGAATATTAGCCACACCCTAAACCAGTTTTTCATTTTTCCTGTTTGAGTTCCACTGAAGTCCAGTGGCACAAATTCCATAAGTCCAGCTAAAGGCTCAAACGGGTAGACAAGGAGCAATGTGGAGAAAACCGTCAGCACAGCCAGCATCCCTATCAGTGCCACTGGAATCACAAAAATTGAAGTTAATGCAAGCAGGTGTTTCAATACATGGATTTCCAAATGTGGGTAACAAGTAGCAAGTTGCACTGCCAACTAGACGTACAATTGGTATAAAATGGTTGTCTGAATGGTGCTCCTTTGGAATAAACAGCAGCCAGGACAAGGTACTGAAAGCAGCTTACACAGTACACTGCCGTATTCTCCCAACACACAACAACACCTTCATCATCATCATTCTCAGTTGGTACAACATGCTCATACCTGAAAGCAAGCAAGTGGAATAGGCAAAAATGTTGAATAGAGCAAAAAAAAAAAAAAATCCTGATAGCTAAGCCTGATATAAATTATGATAATAACTGGGAACAAAATAAATGCATTCACAATATAACACTGACCATGATTGAGTTTGTAGAAGTTTTAAAGCGCTCCATTGCACAAAGAAGCAAAGCACCACTTGTAAACCGAGAGGCACCAGATTGCTAAGTGACACAAGACTACCAACAGGTCGTCGATGAGTCAACCCAGGAGCAGGACCAGTGCGCCCAAGAGTAACTGCCAAAGTTGTGGTTATACCAAGATCCACAAATAAAAATTCCAAATTACTCAGCGCTGCACCCTCCTGGATAAAAAGCATTGTACAATAGGCAAAGCAATTTTGCTGTTAAATTGAATAATAGGCATACACTTTTCTTACTGTGTAAAGGATGAGTACGGTGATGAATTGAATAAGGGAGTACATTGCCATGTACTTAAAAGTTTCAAAGCTTGTTGTAAGAGCACAGCGACCTTCTCTAATTAGGTGAAGAACACAATTTATATTAACTTCCCTTGAAGTGAAAGGTGCAGCTACCGATGCTTCTGCTTCTGATAAAGAAACTCCAATATGAGCTGCTTTTAAAGCCTGTAAATTAAGCATTAAATTCAATCAAAAGCTGTTTCATATGAAGAGTCAAAATATATATATAGCACAACTTCAGAGGCAAAATTACCCCAACATCATTTGCACCATCTCCACACATAGCCACAACATAGTCCATTGCCATCAACTGCTCCACAAGTTGTGTCTTTTGATCTGGTGCCATACGAGCAAATACTGTCCCCTGAGTTATGACCGTCGGTAACAATTCAGGAAAATGAGTTCGGATAACAGCCCATGTTCGGCCGTCTAATGCTAAATGGAATGTTGCAGCTCCACCACTCGACCAGAGCACCTCCTAAAAAATAGTAATAAAAATATTTAAAAGCATGCCACATGAAAATTTAAAACTTTGTCAACTTTCCAAGTTTTACTGAATTTATTACGCACAATAGGAGGAGGATCACCATGTAGACATTGAAGAGACACATTCCCATTTCTTCCGGGATCAGGGGCAGAGGCAGACAAAATTAGTACAGATTCAATTCGGGATATCATACCACAGTCTCGTGAGACGCTTACAGCTGTCATTAAGTTGTCTCCTAAAATATTTAAAAAAAAGAAACACTTAGAAAACAGAAGATTTTTGCAGTTTGAAAATGATTAGATTAAAGCAGGGCTCACCTGTAATCATAACCGTTCGAATATTTGCAGATTGAAGTTGATGAATGACTGGTGTTGTCTCAGGTTTGAGGGAATTTTGCATTATAAGCAAACCCACTAAATGCATGTCTTTCTCTATCTGAAAGAAAAAATAATCTTTATTAGTTAGTTTTCCTGGAAATTGTTTTATTTGAGGCTATTGAGCAGCCAACAAATAGTCTTACTTGTTCTCTTTTTACACGTTGAACTTTTGGCCAAGTGAGTTTGGATTCTAATGGTTTGTGAGCCAGAGCTATTACTCTGTAGCCAGATGATGTAAACTCTGACAGAACTTGAGAAAAATTTTCTGGAACTGTAGACCAATGGATAAGAAAATGCTACTACTACAAACAAACTGAGGTTAGCAACATTTAAACAGCATGATTTACCAGTTTCTGGAAGACAGATGTTTACTATTTTTTCAGGGGCTCCCTTTGTGTACATAGCCATGTTATGCGCTCCAAGCGTTCTTACCACAACAGACATGCACTGTACTGTGGAGCTAAATGGAAACTGACGCATTATACCGACTTCATAAGGTATCTGGAACAAGCCACTAAAATTAAACCTGAGCTAAACCTTTCAGTAAAATAGATTAAGAAATCATGTTTCCTTACATTGAATTCATCATCAATATTCCAAACATCGTCATCATTTGGTATGCTCTGTAAAACACAAAGTAACATTACTAAAAATTAAAGATTACATAAAATTAAACAAAGGAGTGATACAAGACCTGTTCCAAGGACACTGAAGGAGAGTTTTTAGAACGGGGACGAACTACAGTAGGTGCAAGCATGTCATATCGGGTTGTATCATCTCCACCAGGTTCTTCCAGTTCCTGTGCAACAAAAAGATTTCGTTCAAATATGGAAACTTAGGCAGAAAGAATTTGATAAACGGCCATGGCGGAACTAACCCACTGAGTTGCCTCAAACATACTGAGATCAAGAGGATCACCACACAATTCATTGTGAATTCTGGTCAGGGCATGACAACATGCCATAGCAACAAGAAGGTGAGACTTTGTAGGAAGGTCATTTGATGGATTCCATACAGGTTGTGGTGAAAACTGTTGATCCTTTATAGGAAGCACAGCCCAAAAGTTTAAGCCATCTTCAGTCAAAGTCCCTGTCTAAAGATCAACACGTAAATTATACGAAAAAGTTTGATGACTTTTATCATTGAAGAGGGTTTTAAGTACCTTGTCAAAGCATATCATTTTGATTTTCCCACACACATTAATGCGAGGGGGTGATATACAGAATATGCCCTTCTTCTTGAGCCTAGATTGAGAGAACACTGTTCCCGCAGTCATAGCAGCTGGCAATGCTGGAGGCACAACAATTGTAATAATGTCCAAAGTTCTTAAAGTAATTGTCTCAGAGCTTGCCTACAAAATGAGAAACCGAAATAAACATTTATCTCAACAGATACCAAAAGCTTGAGATGCCATCAATCAAAAATGACTCACCTCACGTTGAACATATAGGTATACGCAGTACGACATGCCAAATGCCGCAACAAAAAATAGAAATGTGACGAATTTTAATGAATCTTCATAGAAGCGGAACCCCATTGGCTTTGGGAACATGACTGAACGAAGTAATTCCCCTTTTGACGTAGAAAAGCCTGTGCGAATGACTAAAGCTGAGACCTGAGAATCACAAATAATTATAGATAGCAAATAATACAGCAAGTCTCCAAAAATTTTGCATTCTTGATAGATCAAAATATTCACCTGATGGTTGCCATAGTATCTTGTCTGAATAACTTGAGTGCCACAGAAGAGTGTGTGGCGACGATGTATGTGCGGATCATATATTTCATCACTATGTGGGGGTGATGATTTTGTAACAGGCGCACTTTCTCCTGTAATAACAATATCAATTGTTTTAAGAGTGTGCCAAACCTAGACATAATTTATAAAAGTTTTAGAAAATGTAAAAAGTTTTAACCTGTCAGCATGCTTTCATTTACAATACATGTTCCAGCAAGCATCATTGCATCACATGGCATCACGCACCCATCAGAGGGTACTAAAATGACATCCCCTGGGACTAAGCATGATGCTGCCACTTCTTCACACTCTATAAACAGAATAATCCAATAAATTTCTTTAAATTTCGAAAGGACTAGTTTGTAGTTAGATTATCCAAGAACTTGCCTCCACCTCTGCGACAAACCATGACACGACAACAATTTGATGCTTCAACAAGGTTTCGTAAAGCCAAACTTTGCTAAAGGAGAAAAAAAAGGACAAAGAGTTAGTTAAAAATGTATCAAATTGATTGCCCATATTTTTCAACAGTTTGGAAGCCTAAAGGGAAGGGAAGGTGTTTTGAAAAGAAAAGTGTCATGCCATAACTTGCCTTTTTTGTTTGAAAAAGTGATGCTATAACTGAAACTGCAGTAAGAAATAGCACACAAGCAGCATAGTAATAGTACTCATCAGCTGACCAAAGGACAATACTAAAGGCTTGGAATAAATAGAAAGGGTTGAACACTTCGCTCACAAACAGTTTCCAATAGGACTTCACTTCCACTTCCATATGATTTGGACCATAAAGTTCCTGGCTGAAAAAATATGCAATTCATTTAAAATCTACATCTTTTTTTTCTCAGCAACTTAACTGATATGGCTTACAGATCATCCTGTTCTTGTTTGGAGAGTCCTTGAGCAGAATCTAAAAGAGAGGCAAGTGTCATTTGTCCATTTGAAAGGCCTCTTAATCTCTGGAACCCCTTGCCTGACATCCAAACAAACTGGAGAAGTCTATGGGAAAAGGTTCTTGTGTGTTCCACAATTGCAGAATTTGGTTGTAGATGAGAAATTAGCTGTACTTCATGCAGTGAACAAAGACCATTAGAATCCTGAAATCGGTAAAAAAGTAAATGAAGACAGACAATTAAAAAATTGCAATTCCATGAAATAACCAAGATTGTTAAACATACTCTTATTAGCACAATCGTTGCACTGTCAAGACTGCACGGCTTGTAGCGTATTGCTGCAAACTGAGGATACCATGCCAGAAGCATGGTTGGTGTTCCAATGAACAGGACGGATGATATCCAGTAGATCCATAATCGAATGGTGCAGTGTTGGTAACCGAAGCAGTGAATGAACTCTCCATCGTCCGTTCCAATTTCAATTTGTTGATGAGCGAGAGAACGATCCAGGCGCTCATATCCATGGTGGAAGCTTCCTGTAAGGTCACTTGCCCGTCTACAGATACTGTAAAGTTCCTAGGTGAATTGATCACAAATAATTACTGATCGAGTACGCTGTATTAATGACTCAGTGGAAGTTTTGCAGTTGCTTCAGAAATAGAACGTAAATATTTTATCTTCAATGCAGTTATTACTATAGTCCATTTCTTGATTTTATTCACACTGAGATATTGATGCAGTTTACTCGATTCTAATGAAAATAGTCACATTATTGTGGAATTTTTCTCATGGTCAGATTTCTTAGGAAAGATTAAGAGAGGGCAGATTATTTAACTGCCATTGATCCATAGCGACAACAATTTAGGTGATATTTCTCCAATAGATTGGTCGGTAAATAGATGTAAAATGTGTGACTTAAGTAAGTTATGTTTGAAGTTTAGAACAGATGATACAGTTACATACTTTCTTCAGCACTCATTCCCAATGGATTTTGTAGGTTGAAAGATTCTACATTCACAAGAAAACTTCTAGTTGTTTGCAAGTAAAATTGAACATATAAAAATAACACTTAAAACTAAACTGGGAATAGCTGAAGAGCTAGACACAGTGGCATGTCATGAGCTGAGGTTACATTGTTTAATTAGATAGACCATGACCATGAGTATGAGAGTATGAGTATCCCTTGTTGCCCTATGGGAAATTTGCATACTGTTATGTAACACGAGGATCGAGATGACATTGCTTGCTTACCGCTAAAATATGTGGATCCTTGCATCTAGAACCGCAAATAAGTTATTCCAAACCTTGCGGAAATTTTTAATTTTAAATAAAA